GTAAAACCCTATGTGTTAACAAACTATAAACTTACTAAGACAAGTAGTATTGTTTTAAATAGCTGCATTTTTGTCAGTTTTACTCAGCGTTTTATAAGTTTTAAGATTTGCAAAATTTTGATAGCGTTACAATCCTAAAAAGTCAACTAGAAAAATACATCTTTTCATGCTATTTATTGTAAATGACTTATGATAAGCATGAAAACTATTTTGGGAGATGGTCATACTGTAATAGAGTGATATGATTATCGAAACAAAATTCCTAACATATCTTCTGCAAATAGATCTAAAAGTTTCACATAGTATGAATAGGGTGGGGTGTGGGTGTGTGGGTGTGGGTGTGGATGAGTGTGGGGTGGGTGTGGGTGAGTGTGGGGTGTGGGTGTGGGTGTGGGTGTGGGTGTGGGTGTGGGTTAAGAATAACTACGTTAACACGCGCACCCACACCCCACACCCGCTTGGGCTCAGTCAAAGCCTAAACGAGTCTAACTGACCCTGAGGTACTTGTACTCGGTACATGCATAGATGAGATTGGTTGTTTGAACCGTGTGGGTGTGGGTAGGTGAGGCTCTTTTTTTTCACTCACACCCACCCTGAAACGGTTTTTCGTTTCACTGCTAAGAATTTCTATGTTACACAAAGGTTTCACACTTGCTGTTAACGATTCACTCATTCTTCTTGATAGGCAAACTTTCGAAGCATGAAAGAATTGTCTTTATTCCCTATTTATAAAATTACCAGTTACATTATGCCGATACTTCCATCTCGATATCGAAAATCACGGAAAGATCATGAATAGGATAGAACACACACATAGAAAGCTAATCATTTAAAATGTGGACAAAATTCTACAAGAAAGAACCATTAAATCAATAAAACTGTGTGCAATGCATACAGGTTAATACACTAAATAGACTTCTGAGTAAGAAAAAATCATCAGTCGATCAGATAAACGGAAGACCGTGATGAATATTCATTTCATTCTACTTAGGAATCATGGTCGTAAGTTACTTACCAAGATGCAATAATCAAAATAAAATTTTTCAAAAAACTTCAATAACAATAATTTCCAACTTGGTTGAATTTTGTATATGTGAGACGCGTCGTTGGTTTATCGAAGGACTCTTTTATTACTTTTGCAACATAAAAACGTTTTGCTTATCTTATTTTTCTTTCTACCATGTCTTTTTTATTACTGTCAACTACATGCTTTCTTGAGAAGCGCTGCTCATGACAATAGAAAAAAAAACTCAACATGAAGAGTAGACCAATAATGATGACAAACAAAGAAAAAAAACCATATTTGTAAAAGGGAATACATTTCAAATGGAGTACGAGTATCGATACTCATTTGTGCACGATCGGAAGTGGTTGATATTGTTCAAAAACAGGCAATGCTAAACAATGATAGACTTCCTTCAGTGTCAATTAAAAAGGTGAAACTTGAATGAGCATGAATCTTAGATAAATTTTCAGTAAAATGATATGGAAAATGATAGTTTTCAATAAAGTAATGTTTCTTTGAATTGCATAAACATTTCAGAAAATCTGACATATTCCTCTTGTTTCTCAAATACAAGAAAGAAAACAACTGAAACAGGGTGTGGGTAGGGTGGGTGAAGAGAAGATACACAAAGTACCCATACCTACACCCACACCACACACACTCTTTAGCATATGTGAAAAATTGTGATTCAAAAGTTCAATGTAAAAATGAAACAAAATATTATTATTATTATGATAGTCGAAGAAAAATTTTTTAAGTAATATCATTTTGAAAATATTTGCTCTTTTATTTAAAACTGCTCATATCCCAATTTGTCAATATGTTTTTTAGTTATTCAATATGAATTTCAGGTATAATTCTATTATTGCTTTGATAAAATCAAAATGAGTTGAAAATGAACAAGTATAATGTTAGAAAGCGTACAGACATAGGACTATTTTTATGACATTTATTCAAATATACTTTTTGTTTATCATTGAAAGACATGTCTAATTAAAGTTAGATAATTATCAAACAGAACTTGAATTCAAATATGAATTCGTATATCATTATTTTTTACTATTATAACTTTAATTTATGTCTGATTAATTGAATAATAGAAAGTCGAGAAAATCTTTAGTGTTGTTGTGACAAAAATGACTCATTGAAACATCTGAAAGAACACTCAGTAATATACTGAATCAAGAATGAACTTTCTTAGAGCTAATCTTTATATGTTCAGTTATTCTAAATACTCTGAAAAAATTATACCTAAAGACTATTTTTGTATCGAAATAATCATTAAAAACCTAGCGTTAACAATATGACTCGCAGAAAGATATTTACTTTCATTTTATAAATTTTAGTTTAAATAACTCCAAATGACAGCAACATGTTCGAAAACTAATTAATACATTTCTGTAAACAACTCTTAAAACTAAACAATCTCTGTCGAAAGTTTTCTAAGCATGCATAAGTTTTTCAAAAAATTGGATTTACTTTTCGTTAGCACAACATGGAGGACTTCTTCAGAATCGACAGATAATGATGATAGAAAAAATTTTTGTTTTGAAACTTGATAGGATGTATAGAAAACCAATTTTGAAAAGGAAAATTGTTTGAGTCCGATCTTACTGAAAATTTTACCATAGATGTAGTTTATACTGTATAGTCGATCCTGAATTTTCTCGTGAATACTTAGACAAATAATCACTCATTATTAACTATAATTATGCATCAATTGAATGAGGTAACATTTTTACGTATGCCTATGGTAAAAGAACTTATTCAGAATAATTTCTATTTTTTTTTGTTTTTTCTACTTGCTTTTAGTTGTAACGGTTAGCTTTTATTACAGATAATATAATAATGGCAAAAACAATGGAAGAATTTCTTATTGATGCACAAAATGAAGTAGAAAATATTTTCATACTTCAATATTAGCATTCATCTATTGAAGATATGTGAAATACATATGAAAATAGTTTCTGGATTTTTTATTCTTTTTTTTATAATTTAGACAAAATCTTCATGAATATAGATAGTAAGAAAGAAAACTAGTAGTTACTGACCCCTATTATCTTCTACTGATCGAAATAATGAATTTGATGCATTTAACGGTATTTAATATACAGCTAAATTTTGTAAAAATGGAATGTATAAAACAGTACATCATCAACAGACTATACTAATATATTGCAATACTTATATATTTGAATAAATACTGCGTTATGTTACTTATTTTCAAATGGTATTTATAACAAAGCAATGTATGAGATCAGATATTGAAATTGAAAAAGAATAGTCTTATGAAACAGCATCACATTCTTATTTAAAAAAATAGACCATGATCATATTAAAATATTAGTCGTCGATGTTTATATATATCAAATACTAGTTTCTTTTTTGGTGTCGTTAAATGAAAATGTAAATTCTTATGGTTGGTAGCTTGAGTGAATTTTACATGGAATATTGAACGAATATTTTCAAAACTTTGTTCAATTAGAGAACAGATAGATAAGACTGAAATAATTTATAGATAAAAAAAGTGATCTTCGTGACAATTATTAGGCAAAACAAAGTTTATTTTAACTGTTAGTTTACAAATAGACTTCTAGAAAGTTTTCTTGATATACGTGTGAATATTCATATAAAGATCATCAATTTTTCTATTTTCATGCTTAATTTGTTTCCGTCAAACATGTATTCGTAAGTAACTACAAATCTAATATCAGACTAAGTTATCTGACCAAATTGTATATCATACATACTTAAAAGTATACCTTGGAGATCATTGTAGTATAAGATCTGCTCAGCAACAAGTGCTTCACAGGCAGACGAGATAACTCCATGAATCCCTTACTGATTCGTACTCGTCTCGCTGTCGGATACAAACCGATCCAGTAGTTTGGTGATTTGGTGGCCATCAGGTGCTCGTAAACAGAGGCCGTAATGGCCAATTTTAGTCTTACTATCTCATTTTTTCTAAGGAATGAATAAAACTCAAAAACCAAGAGTCATCAAATGGGTAAGAATTTCGTTGGTTTACGAATAATTTCAATAAATAACATAAAGCTCTGTAATAATAAACAGCGACAGCTTCAAAACCAACATTCATATGATTACTCGTATTAATTAATAATCAATTCATGAAATAATTTTGACATTCAAATTTTAGTTTAAAAAAAAGCATTTAAAATGTGTCTGAACTGAGTGCTTTGAAAGGAACTCTGAAATCAACTGATAAATTGTGAATAAATTCATTCTTCACAATTAGTTATTTAGATCTTTTCTAAGCTGATTTCTACTTGCAGATTGGTAATTCTTTTCAAATATACATCTATTTTTTTTTCTTTCGTCTCACAGTAATTCGAAAATAATATAGTAAAAGTTTAAATCGTTTTTTTCTCAATTCTAAATATTTCTCTATTTCCAATGATGCCATCTAGATGAGATAATGTAACTGGCTGAGTTGCCGATCTCAGAACTACATTAACTGTGTGCCATAATTGATTTCAAATAATTCTTTTTCATAGCAAAGGAATTTTAATTTTAACATGCTTCTTTTGTAGTTAGAAAAATGAAAGCAGCTTTCTTACATCAAGATTAACCGATCATTTTTATTCGCTCTTGAATAAAACGTTGATTACCTGACGAAAGTCATCAAATTCCTATAACATGGATGCAATTGAATAACAGAATAATGTAATATTTCTTAAAAGTGAATATTTATTAGAAGGGTACTATAACCATGAATTTCCACAATATTTCTTTTGTTGCATCGAATAATGTAGCTACTCGATAAGTGTAAGTCTAATGAGTTGATTGCATTTTTCTTTTTTAAATTGTCTCAGATCATCCGTCATGCCCATAGACGAATCATTGTTGACTCATACTTTTGATTAACTGATTTATAATTGTCGACTATTCAATAATGTCTCTTATACACCGACACTATATGTACAAGGAGGTAATAATTATACGCTTTTATTTCTGAATATCAAAATGAAAAAGAATGACTCGATTAGAAGACTTATTTAACGAAATATTTGATTATTTACATGCACTTGATATTTTACGGTATTTTCAATACTCAATCAACGTATTACATTCATACTGTCTTCAATCTCATTTCGTATTGTTGTTTCCTCATATTATTGTCATCGCGTCAAATAAAATTTCTTTCTTTCTATCTTATCGATCATAGACGCATCAAGTAGTTTTAATTTCTCTTGAAGATTCTATTCGTGATTTTACATCTATTATTTCTTTCTTTTTCATTCGACATACGTTTGAAAATCTTGAATTATGTGCACTTTACTCATCACATTGGTCAATACAAATACGAACTGCATTAATATACAAGTCAAACTATTTTAACATATCAACCATCTTCACTTCGCTCGCTCGATTTTGTATTTTACTTCAATCATTCGCATTTAACAACTGGTGTTACTCTTGACTGGATATTAACATCAATGACTTTAACATTTTATGGTTTACCTCAGCAGTTATCAATTTATTGTGTTCTATATGTATTTCATATTTATCGTGCATTAAGACGTTTACGTGTATTTATATTAATTCCTGCAAATTCAAATATTCAACATGCATAGTAAGTTTTTTAATGAAATGATATGATTTCGTATTAGACTATCTGCAAATTGAGAGAAGAAAACAAATAGAGTTTTTATTATGATTGGTAGTGGTTTAGTAGTTTTAACCAAAAGTTATACTGATGTCTTCTCTATGGAATTCTCTACGAAACTATTTAATTCTGACAAGCTATAAAAAGGATTTCGTATTTAGCAGAACTCGTTCATCCTACAATGGTAAGACTGGGTTTTAAAGAAAAGTATGTGAAACAAAAAATATGTAACCGTAATGGAATTTTATGTCATAACTGATATAGAAAAAGAAATAATTCGTAGTAAACTAATGAAATAGAAAAAAATCTTCGTTCATATATATTCTTACTCATATTGTTATGTTTCTTTGTAAGATATAAAATGAAAGATGATTCTTAATGGTGAAATAGGATCTAGAAAAATCGGCTGACTGCAGAGCCTGAAAAATATCAACATCTGGTCCTATACGACATCTACTATTTCTAAATCCAAGAATTGTGTAGAGGAAAGCATAATCAATCTGAATCGTAGATTTCCATATAAGAAAGCTCTCAGCTGTTCATTATCGTTCATTGTCTCATCTGTATAAACCATGAAGAGATTTTGTTAAACGTTTGAGACTCTTTCATGGATGAATTTCAATTATGCGGTGTCTTAAGCGTGAGTCATGTATAACCATATAAGGAAACTAACAACTGTTAATTATCATTTTTGGGATTATTTACATCTCCCGAAAGCTGCCGAATTTCGAAAAAACGGATTTCAGATGTGCACTCGTCACATTCTCAGGGTGGGTGTGGGTGTGTGTGCGTGTGCGTGTAAATGAGAAGAACAGCCACGCACATCCATACCCACACCCACAATTGACTTTAATCGAGAGGAAAATAAAAATAAAAATAATAGGTGCTGATATGGGAGTGATTCTGTGTAATTTCACACTCCTATTAGAATTAATTTTAATATAATATCATGAAAATCCAAGAATCTCATAATTTTAATTTTGAAAAGAAATTCTAGTTCATATGTTGCATGCATAAGAAAAACATTTCTTCCCTTGTAGTGATTTGCATTTTAGTAATGACGTCTTCCATTTTCTTTTTTGGAATGCTTTAGTTTATTGTCGCTTTTTGTTATGAAGTTTTCGCTTTCCTATTATTGCGTAATAATAAGGATTAAAATATATTAAATAATCAATGTAACACTTAAGGAAGAGAATAAAAAAGTCTGAATCTTACATGGACTATTGATTGTCATTGCTGCTAACTAGTTAACAATAGAGGGAAAAGTTACAATCGGACAATATCTCTTATAACCCAATAATAATATCTATTGATCCATAGAATCTCTATTTGAATAAACAGATTAGAGAAACATCTATTCAGCCGTTTAATTGCTATAGAAAACTCTTCTTCCACTTGACACACAAGTCACGATTCACATCAATCACTGAGATCGTGAAAATGTGTTAAGTGCACATCTATGCTTTAATTATCGTCTACCAAGAGCATATGGAAAAAGTATATTACTAGTATTGGAAGCCGTTTCAACAAGAAAAGAAAAACTAGAAAATATCTATTTTTATTTTTTATCTAACTGATTCATTCATTCATTAAAAAAAAACTCGATGGCAATATCATCTCTTTCTAAGGCTTTAACAATGATGTTTCTTTTATTTTCATTTTGTCTTATAAGTCACTCAACAATAATCTTGATAGAAATATTCAATATAAACTTTTAAAATGTTAAATACGGATATAAATAGAATAGGTATGAATATTAATAATTGTAACATATGGATTTACGTACATATTAGGCAAGGAATGTACCTGACAACTTCAAAACTGAATGAAAATGAACTTATACAGCCAACAAGTTCAAGTCCATGACGAAGTCTACAATGTTTTGTATCGTTTACTATAATCAAATATCATCATTCCACAAGAACATTCCCACAACAGAATAAAAAAATTCTATCACTACGACTAGTGATAATAGTTAAAAATGTGCATTCAATCAATTGACTTGTCGTAATTTAGGGTGTGCGTGTTTTAAGAATCGAGACGTAGCGTAGAAAAAAAAGAACATCATTCTATTGTTGCTGAATGCCGTATTATCAACAAACAGTATAGCACTCCATTCTTTTTCTACTATGACAGTACTGAAGAAAAAAAAAGCAAGAAGAAGTGAGATACACAAGCAGTAAATCTTGATTATTGCCTTTCTACGTGATAGAAAGCAAATACAATTCTTTTTAAGTTACTGCCGATGTGCACCTGTTTTACAGAACGAAAAAAAAAACTTTTCAATTTTCGAGAATGTTGAAATGCACTTTTCTTTTCGTTTAATTAAATACAGCACACCACATCGTCTTCTTCTTCTTCTTCTTTGAAATAAAAGAACGAATGAATCGACAGCATCAACTAAAGAATTCGTGCTTAACGTTGTCAATATTTGCGATAACACTCGTCCTCTATATTTCATATACGATTTCAATTCTTGCTTCAGGACATGATTCTCTGTACATATTCTTAAATAGAATTTTGATATGCGATGCGTATATGCATGTTAATTCGATATATTGTGTCGAGTAACAACTTGAAATGATTATCAATTGATTCACTTTGATTTCGATGCTCTATTAGAGATAAATCTGTAAATTGAGTATTATATTAATTCAACATATAATTTTCAAAGTGCTGCTTCGTCGACAATTGATTTGATATGTAAAATTGACACGATGCATTTTTTTTTCTTGCTTGTTGAACTCCGATACTCAATTGTTTTAAGTCAGTACTTTTTCTATTGTTCACAATTAATTACAACTTCAAAGTATTACTGAGATTCTTTAAATCTCTTTCACTAGATATTATTTAGCTAAAACTGCAGGTGTGAACTGAGTATAACAGTCAGTTTTTACCAATTTTAACGTCAAAAGTCTGTTCGATGTACGTTTGTCGAACTAACATCTCCAACTAGAGCTTATTTCGTTAGAACCTTTCGAGAATGAACTTTAATAGTACTTGTTCAGTTTTTAGATTTTCTATTATTAGTGAAGAAATGTAAATTTTTTATCTAGAGGGCAAAATCCTATAAAAACTCGCTCCAAATTCAACTATTTTTACTATCACACTAACATAAAAGAACTATACAAATGTCAGATGCAAAATTACCATAAAAAATGCAAATAACTACATACATATCATCGAAACACTTTTCGCACTAGGAAATCGTTTGTACTCAATCATCAGGTCACTTTTTCGAAAAAGTTTGCCTATATCCTGTCAAGACTGAATCCTCATGAGACAAGTGTTTCTATGAAACGTCTGCAGTTTCATATAGCTTTTCAAGGTAATTCTAAATATGACACTTGTTTAGCTCTTTTCGCATAATATAATAGTCAAAATAGCTGAATTTTTATAACATTTTGCCGTTCAAATCTAAAATATTGATTTTCAAAACTTTAAATATCAAATAGGTACTATTAAAGCTCATTCTCATGAAATAAGACATTTGATCTCATCTTTTTGTACAAAAAGTTAGATAGGTTTGCAAACTTGGATACTAGCGAGTTCTAGTTAAAAATGCTAGACACACTCATACTGAAGAAACTTTTAACTTTATAGTCGGTAAAATATGACTGTTATACTCTGTTTTAGACGACGAGTAAGAAAAAAACTCATAGATTGTAATGTTTTGTTCATACAATTGCTAAAAAACGCTGAATTTTTTCATGTTATTAATCTTTGAGAGTTTCTGAATTTGTTTTTCTTATAAGACGATAAAAAAGCTGAAATCCACATTCATGAGATTAACAGATCAAACTCTATTCAACGATGTATGAATAAAATTAAAATTATTTCCACTTGAATTTCGCATTTTCTATATTTCTGGTACAAAAGAAAATAAGATTTGTTTGACGTAATACAAAAAGAAATATGTATGAAAAAACATATCAATCGAACACTATCCATTATCGACAAAGGAAAAAAATACTGACTTTTATTTATTTTTTTGCAAATAATGAAATACGAAAACAAAAATACAAAATATCAACAACTAGATACAAGAATATATATATAAATATCTGATAAGAAGATCTAAAAAATCCCAAATGATTCAAACAAGAAGATTTACTTATTCAAATATGTTTTGTGCAAAACTTTAATATAATATTCTATTTATATTTGTTGTTATATCAGATATCAATTTCAACTCAATTACAATGAAATTTTTAAAAAGAAAGTAAAAGAAAAAATGAATTTATTAATTCGACAAATCTCTCAAATATTTTCTTTCTAAAATAGTAACAATCTATAAATATTTCTCACATATATATATATGTTTGACAAGAAAACAATCGTGTGTCAATTCATTCCAACAAATTAAAGAAAGAAGTAAGTATTCAATCGGAGAAAAAAATTCAGCTTTACGCCCAGTCAATTATTCACTTCGTAGAGAACAGAAAAGAAAAGTTTCTTTTTTTTTTGTTCATGTAATAGTTCAAGGTTACTGATTTACTTTAACCATCATCCATACAACTAACTGTATTTGTGACACGTATGTGACAAGATTCATCGAGACATTTTCAATTCTTCCAAAGAAAAAAAAACTCCACATTGTATTTCGTTTCTGTTCTTTTTCTTCGATGTGTTGTCGTTGTGAATATGATCGATGCCATGCAAATTTAAGAAGCATACAAAAAAAGAAAAGGTTATTATGTTGAAGGCAGTAAGCATAGTAACGTGTTTAGGTATAATTTTAATTTATTTTTTACTAATTACTATTATATATCCTTATGTATGTTGGATAAAACATCGACCATCAGATGATGATGATTATAATTATTTATCACCACCGACTGCTATGATTATTAATAAAAAATCAACTAAATTTTGTTTCATTAAAAATCAATTGAATTTAATGCCTATGCCTTCAAAAATCATATTATTAAATAAATCAAAAAAGATTCGTATTCCTTCAATTATTCGTATTGAAAGCAAACGTTCTTTACCATTTTTAATTGTAAAATCACATAAAAGTGCTTCATTTATACTTACTATTGATTATCAATTGGATATGAATAATAATTCTTATCCATATTTAGGTATAGATGAATCATATCAATTAAATATAACTTCAAATAATCGTGCTTTTTTATATGCTAAAACATATGTTGGCATAATTCGTGGTCTTTCAACATTTCAACAATTACAGTATCATGATAAGGTGTCAATACCACTTGTAATTTTTGATAAACCTCAATTTATTTGGCGTGGTTTAATGCTTGATGTTGCACGACATTTTATTTCAATATCAATCATTAAACAAACAATTAATTTAATGCAACTAGTAAAAATGAATGTATTACATTTACATTTATCCGATGATCAAGGTTTTCGTCTTGAATCTAAACGTTTTCCTCGACTTCATGATTCACATGAATTTTATTCTCAATCTGATATGCAAAATCTTATTGAATATGCTCGACAACGTGCTATTCGTATTGTACCAGAATTTGATATGCCAGCACATACAACATCATGGTTTATTGGTTATCCATATTTAGCAAGTAAAAAAAATAGTTCTTATGAATTAGAAAAAAGTTGGGGTATTAAAACTGCAACAATGGATGTAACTCGTCAAAGTACATATGATTTTCTTGATAAATTTTTTTCTGAAATGATTCAATTATTTCCTGATAAATATTTTCATATTGGTGGTGATGAATGTGAACCATATGAATGGATGCAATCAGAACAAATACAAAAATTTCTTAAAGAAGAACGATTGTATGATCATCAAAGTTTACAAGCATATTTTACTAGACGAGTAGAAAAACTTTTAAAAAAATATAATCGTGAGTATTGTTTTCTATCATCTTTTAAAATCAAAAAAAAATACTAAACAATTGTGTTTATTGTTGCAAGTACATTGAAATAGTGAGTTTACTCATTCAATGTATAACTTATAGATAGAAATGTTTAAGAATTTTATTTATTCTAATTTAAACAATAATATGTTAGATAATTCAAAGAAATGTTCTTCGAATATGTCACATTTCTCGATCGATTTCATGCGAAATTTGAGTTTCTTTACTAATAAATGAGAGTAATCGTTATATATAAGTTCATGCACAGCATTATAATTATTTTAGTTCAAATATTCAATAAATATATCCCTGTCTAGCGACAGATTCAATAGAGTGACTTCTTCTCTACAATTGATGCTAACTGTAGATCCGACTACAGAATTATTCTGATACAAAGTTCTTAAGTTTAATTGTTTAAGTTAACGATACATACAAACTAACCACAAGAGCAAGTATGTGTTATAACATAGTCAATATGCTATCGAGCGAAAGATCTAAGACAAACAGCTATTAGTGACTTGTCCAGGATCATTTTCTGGTAGATGATACAAATGTTTAGTCAAATTTAAATCCTTTTATAATTGCTATTAGAACACTATGTAGTATCTATAGATAAACCATCATTGCAATCAAAAGAAGACAGCTTTATTAGCTATCAACAATCTAAAAAAAAGTTTTTTTTTTTTTAGGCATAATGATGGGTTGGGATGAAATAAGTACATCAAATCTTTCACATCAATCAGTAATTCAATCATGGCGCGATAAAAGTTCTCTTATAGATGCAGTTCATCGAGGTTATCATGCTATTCTTTCACATGGTTTTTATTTGGATCATATGGCATCAGCTGAATATCATTATAATAATGATCTTAAAATCGATATAGTACTTAATAAAACGGAACAAAAACGTATTCTTGGTGGTGAAGCATGTCTATGGACTGAATATATTAATTCGCATATGGTTCATTCACGTACATGGCCACGTACAGCTGCTATTGCTGAAAGATTATGGTCATCAACATATGATACAATTGACTGTATGTACGATAGACTTGCTATAATGGATAAACATTTTTTTCATCCTAATAATGAACAATATCTGAAAGATTTATCAACATTAACATCAAATATTACAGCATTAAAACTTTTAGCTGATTTATGTGAACCATTAGGTTTACAAGGACGTGATCGTAGTCGTAATTATACAAGTCAAACATTATTAAATCGTTTTGTTGATATTTTAAAACCAGAAAGTGAACAAACTCGACAATTAATTAAAACAAAAAATATTACATTATTATATTTAACATTTATTTCATGGAAAACAAATATTTTAAATATTCATTCAAATGATACAGATATTTTACAACTTTCTCAAAATCTAGTTCAACTTAGTGAAATAGGTATGCGTTTATTAAAATTACTTAGTCAAAATCAACAAAGACAAATTGTATCATCAAGATGGTATTATTATCAAATTTATATATTAAATACATTAGAATATCAAGTACCTGAGATAAGATTAGCCGGTGTTCGAGTTATAAGAAATTTACTTGAACAATTTGATCCATGTTCATTTGATTTAATTAATCTCAGTCTTATTTTATGTTTTCCAATTATTGTGATTTTTGCGCAACGTCTTGGTTTTGTTCGACGACGCATTCTTGTTCCATGTTTAAATTCTTTTTATTCTTGTTGTGGTCGTTGTTAAGTCAGATGAATATTTTTTATTTCGAAATAAAATTTTAAAAAGTTAAACAATCAAAATACCAAAAATGATGTAGTTGATAAAATTTTTTCTTGAGACTAAATGTCAACTGATTTTAACTTATGAATTATCGTCATAAAATATGATATTCAAAATCGATGAGTTAAAACCAGGATTTTGTACTCTTTTCGAATATGAACTTACTAGACAACTACTCCAAATGATAATTGTTGTTTGAGTTCATATTGAATCGATTCAAATTTAGGTAGTTCTCAAAAAATCATATGATAGAAGTTTGATTTAAAATTTTGCTTATAAATAGGTCTAATGACTCTTAGAATATAATTAAATATAACTCGGCGTCAAAAGTCATGAATAGTTTGAAGTAGTTTCTTCGTTAGAAGTTTTGAAAAACTGCTTTGAACAGAAAATTGTTTCGCATATTGTTGTATTTTTCTTATTGTGATTTGAAACTAAAAGTTGGGATCTTTATTTATATATTAGCTCATAAAGCAGGAGCTGCTCCACCTAAATAGACTATTTGATGTTTTTTTTATTTTTCGACAAGGCTATTCAATATTTGAAGTTCTCAAATATATATTTTTGAAAAATCAAAAACTGGTTCACATTAAAAGAAACTCTTCAAAAAAAAACTACAGCCTAATTCAATAACACATTGTGTAGAGAAGTGTCTACTCTACAAAATGACCAACTTCGATAATTTTATTTGCATTTTCAACACAGAAATAAAATGTAATACCCTCATTTCATAGAAAACATAGTTTTCTTTCGATTTAGCGAAGACCGATACTTTCTAACTTGTTTCGTTCGAGAGGTTTACATGTTTTCTAGAGACCTCATACAGTCTTTCATTGACCTTTGATTATTCGAAAGTATGTAAAAAATTTTTTATATTATCTTATTTCTCTCCTTATAAAATTCAAACAGATAATGATTTGAGACGAAAAACCATACGTCATCACGTGTCCTTGCATGGTCATTTTATCCTTCTTCAGAAATATTTTTATGATCACCAATAACTTGAGCGAAAGAGACGATGGCATCACAAGTGAAAATGAAATAGAATAGATATATTTGAATGCTCGTCAAAGATATCCACAAAGTAGTGTCAGATCTGTATACCTTGCACATATCGAACATCAAGTGTTCAATTTTTCATTTTCAAATCGAAAATTGACGACAGGAAGGCGATAGTAATTGATATTCATTGTTTTTATTTATAGATGTAAATCACCATCAAATAATTGTATTTATATTGCTAATTTTCATTCTGTTATCATAATAACGTAAAAGATTATCTAATGAATTTTTCTTATTATTTGATTCCGATGGTAAGACTTAAAATCTGCTTTCGTGAACAAGTAAAACAATTCTTATTGGAAAAAGAGAAAAGATTTAAGCTTGAAAGTAGTGATGCATAAATGCATTGGTGCCTTTTGTTCATATGGTAAATCCCAGCGAATTGGAAAAAATCTTAAAATTAGAAGTATCCTTATGTCTTGTATCCACAGCTATAGACATTTTCCTACAATTCCACATGAAACAATTCTCAGGTCAAAATGATGTCTTTTTCACAAGATGTTTTATTTCGAACAGTTATTTATATCCTACGAGTCTATCAATTTAAAAAGGATTGAATCGAAGTAGTGCCCTTCGATGCGTTGCTATATACTGTGTCATAGGCTGAAATTTTAGTAAAACAGTTATAACTTTGGTAGAAAGATATAAGGGAACTTCTCTTTTGAGAATATCTCATACTTGACTGGGATCTAGTTTTTGCATTAAATATAAACTTAAAAACGATTAGTCACTTAGAACGGTTCTCTCATAAGTATCAAGATGTAAATCTATGATAAAAATATTGAATCAAACGATAATGATATAGAACGTTCATTGAGAATATTTGCTATCGATTATTTGTAATTAAAAAATTTAAAATTCCTCTTCAAAATTCATCAAGCTCATTGGGCTACATTCATGTAAAAATTAATATTTGGAAGCATTGTTTTTTCGAAGTATCACTTATGAGCCCTTATATATTCTCAATGACAAAAGTAATTCGTTCGATGGAAATGGTGATTTTGAAAATTGTTTACATAGTGTCTTATTGTTCTGTGATGCACCTACTCTGTGCTTCTCGTGTTAAGTTACATCTCAATAAGCAATGACAGTGTTCGGTTTTTTTTACACTTTCTTTATTTTTATTTGATAAATTGTCAACTATTCATTTGTGAATATCAATATCAACAACATATTATTTTTCTACAACCAAAGATATAAAAAATTCTTATAAAAACATTTATTCAATTTTTTCTCTATTTTGACTTTTGTTTACTATTTGTTATATTAACACTATATTCTTTAATTAAATTTGGTAAAAATGTTAATGATTGAAAATAATCATATTGGTGTGGTATAGTATAATTTTTTCCATATCGTTCTACAATAAATTCTATTGGAACAACATAAAATTTTCTGTTAAACATTCTAAATTTTGTTAAACTAAATCGTTTAAATCTCCATCGACATTTTTTATAAATCATATTATTACATATACCATTATAAGTTGCTGACCAATAATCTGATGATTTATTTAATTCATTTAGAGGATAATAAACAAAAATATCAATAGGAATATTTGATTTTGGACATGAAAATGCCCATTCTTGTCCATGATCTATTCGACCATAATTACGACGAAATTGAAAATGAAATTTTTTTTCCATAATTGTTACAAAATTTGTCTCATTAAAATTTTTTGATTTCAAATCTTTATAAAAAATTCCAATATCCATATCATTCGAAATAAAATTTTTCGAACGCCAATACATAAGAGCACTACTAAATGTAATAAACCATGGAATAGACAATGAATCAAATGCTTGATGAATATCAAGAAGACAAAGAGTATAATTATCAACAAGTTCAATATGATTCTTTGTTGTTATCGATATCGATATATAAAAGATGAAGAATAGAGAAGTAAAAGAAACCAAACAAAATCGAAGATAGTTTGAAATACGCGGCATGATCTGTTCGAGTCGATTAATTAAATAAACATTGTGTTCAATATATATGCAACATACTGAAATCATGAAAAAGAATTACTAATAAAAATAGAATCAAACATCATGTTTTCATTTTCAAATGAATCGATTTCATACACTTGAGAACAAGATATCTTTTAAAATTAAGCTTGGATTCTTATCATCAAACACTCTTTTATAAGTACGTCAAAAAGACTATATTATAACAAAGCAATATTTAAAGAAAAAAAAAATTACAAATCTGCTTATTTTATCTATAGTGGATGAGCAAATATTATTATTCAAAACCTAGAAAGATTATCATATGTTCTTTTATATAACATATGATAGACAATTTATGCAGAACATACGGACATACTTTCTGTCGTAATTGCATTTTTTTATATAAAAATATTATTTTTTACTACTTAAAAAAGAATGACTGATAAAAAAAACAAATTTTTTTCACAGAAAATTTTTGATAAGAGAAGGTGCGCAGCTGATCCATTCTGTTTTCACTAATATTTGACTCGTACAGTAGTGAACTAAAGTTTTTCCGGGTGGTAGAACTTCTCATAAGACTAATATAAATAATCAGCAGTAGTCATTCTATTATCACAATTAATGTTCATTTCTTCAACATTGTTCTTCATCATTAGCTCTGATGTATGATATTGTCAATCCCATGTGAAAAAATCAGATTAAAATCGATTAAAATTTACAGTAATTATTACAAATCCACCTACGTTGTTGCTACATTATAATGACTATAGCCTACGAACTAGATAAGAATGCTGGTACCTCAATGTCTAAATCCTTACGCATATACCTTATAACTACATCGCTACAGCTATATCTTTAAGACCGTATTCTTATATCAACACCCTTAAGCCTATGTCCTAATACCTATACTCTAACTAAGTGTAGAAAATTCAAAATTAAAGCAGAAATTTGTTTTTGTTTTTTATATTCTATGTAGATAGAGCTCATCGAGTTATATAGGAAAAATCTCATGTTAGAAGTTTGAAAGTTGGTTTTCGCTGAAGAAAATTTACAATAATGAATTTTTTAAAAACATACAAAATGGACGCAGTTTTAAAGTTTCAAAGCTAATTTTTTGTAATTATGCATGTAAAACTGTATATAAAATACTGGATTATCCCGTTTTTGTGGTCTAAAATAAGTTGTGTTCTCTCAAAATCTTTCTGCACACATTGCAAACCTATCAAATACTTTTGTATGCATGATGAAAAAGTTACGTATCTATTGAAAAGAATAATGATCCGATGCTAGAAAAATCAATTTTTTTATATCACCAGTAAAGGAATTGAAAATGGGGCCATATTTCGACACTTTGATCGTCAAAATTAAGTCTTCAATTAAAATATACGTGGTATTTGATTTCTACAAAAAAAACCCTGAATCAATTAACATAGATTTTAGTATACAATATTTTCTATCGAAATTCGATCCCTACTCCTATGGCTTACACGAAATGATTTAGTCGGGGTTCCGGCTCGGGTGGAATTTCGATAGAAAATATTGTATACTAAAATCTATGTTAATTGATTCAGGTTTTTTTTGTAGATATCGAATACCACGTACATTGTAATTGAAAACTTAATTTTGACGATCAAAGTGTCGAAATATGAGCCCATTTTCAATTCCTTTACTGGTGATATAAAAAAATTGATTTTTCTAGCATCGGATCATTATTCTTTTCAATAGATACGTAACTTTTTCATCATGCATACAAAAGTATTTGATAGGTTTGCAATGTGTACAGAAAGATTTTGAGAGAACACAACTTATTTTAGACCACAAAAACGGGATAATCCAGTATTTTATATACAGTTTTACATGCATAATTACAAAAAATTAGCTTTGAAATTTTAAAACTGCGTCCATTTTGTATGCTTTTATAAAACTCATTATTGTAAATTTTCTTCAGCGAAAACCAACTTTCAAACTTCTAACATGAGATTTTTCCTATATAACTCGATGAGCTCTATCTACATAGAGCATAAAAAACAAAAACGAATTTCTGCTTTAATTTTGAATTTCCTGCGCCTTACTGATATTCTAAGAACTATATTCTGATGATTAGACCCTCATTGTCTATAGCCCCTATAGTTATACCTATACTGTCATACCTATATCCCTACATCTATATCTGTATACCTGTACAGAATACTCTAACATTCTCTCTCTTACGAAGCAATCTCTCAAGTACTAAAAAGTTTTTGAGCTCAAAATCTGTCCACCCATAGGATATATATACAGCAGAAAAATCCTAAAAGCATATGAGTACTGTCATATAATGAGAACAAATACATTCAATACTATATTTGTTTTCTCTCCTTTTCTTTCGTTCTCTTTAGTTTTTGTTATACATTCTGAGTAGCCAGATAATACATATATTGTTTCGTTGTTTCTTCTATGTCTAGTCTCATATTACGTATTTCTTTTTGTTTTTTTTTGTATTGCGTATTTCCTTTTTCATATATTTCTTTTGTTATTGCGTCAATTGGATGCAACATTATCTTTTTGATCTTATTCCTGTTTTACACGCCAATAAACTGATATTGACCTATTTCTTCTTCATCATTGATACGCAGCACACGACGTGACAAGTACAGGGTATAATTTGGCTGAGATATCGACACAGTAGTATAACTTCACAGCAGAACCCTACTTATCCGATACTAGCAAAGTTTCGATTTTCACGAGGAACTTTGCCCACATTCAGGCTTCAATTAGAATAGCTTGCATACAAATTTTTCAAATTTTTGGACAACTTATCGCCAAAATATGAGTTTTCCGAAATATTTACGCATAACACAATATCTATTAAAAAAAACGTCTTCATGATAACAATCTACTATGTGGAGAATATGTTGTCCAAAGGTGCAATACTGTGTGGACATGCTAGTCTGATTGAGGTCTTGATGCGGACAAAGTTCCTAATGAAAATTGGAAACTTTGATTTTATCGGAAAAGTAGAATTCTGATGAAAAAATTACACAACAATGTCGATATCTCGATCAAATTATAACTTGTGCCCATATTGCTGCCGTGTTGTTGGACAAATTTTATTCTCAAAAACTTTTTGACAGCTAGAAATGTTTTCTCGTCAGACTTGTATTCTTATGAGAATGGATGGACTGTTAACTTGAAATAAAGTTAAGTTTTATCACTAAACACGTAATATAAGACTTAAGTTTTTCTACTTGAAATTTATTAATAGCAAACTTAATACTTAATATTAAGTTTAAGTGATAGTATTCAGCAAGTAGCATTTAATTTCAAGTTTTTCATGACCATTAAACGGACACACTGTATTACTGTTCGGACCATATAAAAGGAAACCTCTGATCACTCACGATTGGCTCGAAACAACATTAGGTTTTGTCCTAACAATAGCGGAGAAGACAGTTTCCTCGAAGTTGATGGATCAATAGAAAACAGGCATTAGCCAATCAGATTTTGGTAGCGATTTTTTCGTCTGTTGTAAAGACAAAATCCATTTCTGTTCTGCATCGATCAGAATTTATCAAGACTCCTCTTTTGTGTGTTTGAACAATAGCATGGTATACTGCTTTTGAAGTAATGAAAGATTCGAAATTGAATGATATTTGTGTAAAGCAATCACTCAAACCCATTTTTTCAGTAAGTTAAGTGTTTGGTATCAAAATGTTGAACCTAATATTAAGTATTAAGTAATAAAACTAAGCTAAATTTTAAGTTAAGCTAAATGATCCACTCTAATTAATGATTATAATCGATTCGAGAAACTAATTGATTCCAATGATTTATAATCAGTATGACTTAATTATAGATGATTCTTATCCTAGTGATAATAATTGATTCGAAAAGCTACTTGATTATGGTCGATTTTAATCAGTATTGCTTGGTTTTAATTGAAAAAAAATTATCAACTACTGATGAAAATTGATTACTACTTAAAATTGATTCTATTTGATTAGTAACAAATCATAGATGATCGAGTATGTTCGCTATAAATCGATAATAATCTTCCATTTAATCAAAGAAACAATCACAATCGCTGGATTTTCATCAATTAATGACGCCTGAAATCGATTAAAATCATGTATCTGTTGATTTTTCGGTTTGCTTTTTTATTTTTACATGAAAATGTACCAGTAGTGCGAAATAATATTTTTAATTAGCTTAAAAGATGATAGCATTCAAAAGAATTGCTAGGCTTAACCAATTGCAACAACTGAAAAACAGGATCAACAAATTATTCCACTCACCGAACATTGTATGCCAACTGAAGCCAAAACGACTTGTGATCAACGAATCAGGTGTGAAATACAATCGACCCATGACGAAGCTATTGCTCATGGAAGGCTAACGAGAGAATCACTGTTTCAGACAGAACCTGGACGCAAAAGCGATGTATGGCTTCTTGTCAGTAATTCCGAGACAACGACCCTAAATATACATCAAAAGTAGCAATAAACAAGGGAATGAATAATCGAGCTCACAAAACTGATTGCTTGTCAATGTAATCCAACCTTGTACCCATTGAAAATGTTTGGCAAATCGTTAAATTGAAGTTACGAAGAAAAAAGTTCCTAACTTCTCAATTGTTGACTTCAGCAAAATAACGCAAATGGAAGATTTTACTTCCCCGAGCCGGTCATCAAAGTTGTACATAGATATGAAAAGTCATGATGACTTTAACTTTCGTTAATAATCAGAGTGTACTAAGAGCTTACACATAATAAAATGTTTTCATATAATCATCTAATTTGATAAAGTTCGTATTCACAGGAAAGACTTTTGTCTACTATAATGTAACTTGTGAGAGAGCCCTCCTAACAAGGAAAAGAAACATTTATTTTATTTGTAAACTTTCAAGATATTCTAAGAACAACTAGATGTTTCTTGTTAACAAAGTTACATCTCAAATTTCTAACCCAATTTTTCTATAAAAATCTGATTATTTGTCTAAAGTTTAGTAGAAGTTTTCTAGT